GTATCCGATAATTATATTGGATTCTGATTAATTCGGTGAAATCATAAAAAACATATATATATATATATATAAATTTAATATTTAATAATTAATATATTAATAAAAAAATTAATAATTAGATAATAATTTTTTTATTATTTTTTTAATATTAACTTTTTAGTATCCGATAATTATATTGGATTCTGATTAATTCGAAATCAAGCTGTGTCGGACCTATCAGAGGAAAAACTCTTTTTGTACTTGTTTCTCCATTCACAAGATTTGAACTCGAGATATTATTTAAAGGGAGTCAAACTCCTCCTATTTAAACTAACATGTCATTAATAATAATTTTTTTACTATTAATTAATAGTAAAATGATACTATATCATTACTTAAAAGAGAGAATACATCACCGAGTTTAAGAAAATTCAATTCTTATGATGTCAACAATGCATACATATTTAATTGCTTGGGAAATCAAAGCACTCAATCTTTGGTGGGATAGAAGCCATAGAAAGTGTTGGATTTTTGGAGTTGTTAATGATCTCTAAATCCATTTACATCTATTACTCTCTCAGCGATGAACACTCTTGTAGAAAGCATAAGACGTTGCAGCAGAAAATTAACCTTTAAGAACCATTTTGAATTGCTCTCTCTTCTTGCTTTTGTTGGTTGAGATGCAAGGTATTCTAGCGTAGAACCTGATTTTCATCCCAAGTTCGAAGATGGCGTAGGTGACAGCATCACATTTACTTCTTAGTTGGAAATCATTTTTCGCAGCACCACATAGTTACCATTTTCAAGTTAAACCTCTAAAAAAATACAATCTAATGCAAAACCATTTAACAAAAGGTAGTTTCACCTCTGAAAACCCATACATTGCATCAAAGAATCCTCTCTTGATGCTTGAAACAATAGTCTTCTAAGATGAAGAGCAATGACCGTCACTTGAGGGATGCAAAGGGAATAGAGGCTTCTCATCAAGTTGTGTAGAGCTAAGTCGGTAAAACTCCTAATTTCCCATATATATACATGTTTGGTGCAGGACAAAGAAAAGACCATGAGAAATGTCAAAATTTTGCAATAATATTGGAAGTTTTAGAGAGCTATGATAGCATATAAGTGTTGGGATTGGGCCCAACATTCAATCCGGGCTGTGTCTAACAGGCCCAGTCGTACATCCACGAGGCCCAAATTGAGGAGACATACCCACATGGGTGACGACACGTGGGCCAATAGGATGCACACACATGTAGGCTCATGTCAGTATATGAGGCTATAAATACCTCCAACTACCTCCATGCAAGGTATTAACTCCACTACGCTTCTCTCTCTGCAATTACTCTTTGAGAATATCTCTCTCTAGAATATAGAGTATTGCTAATTTGAGCGTCGGAGTGTTTTTCCCAAGGAAACGTCCTCGGGAGTTTCAAGTATTGAAGTAGCTACAGGAATATACAGTATTGGATCGTGAAGCTGCTTAAACAATAAGCATTACAATAATATGCGAAGAAAGAAAAAGAGCTTATGTTGCAATCAAGAGCATAGTTTCTTGCAATCATAATGATTGCAAGCCCCTTCTTGGGTTGCCAGAACAATGACTTTGATGCAATACTACCATCACCAATAACTCCACATAGCTAATATTGAGAAAACCATAAAATATAAGAATTCTTGTTCATTGAAGTTTAAAAATTTGCACAAACATAATTAGAATGCTTTGGGTCTTTGAAGCCTAACGGTTGAATTATATAGATTATTTCTTTAAGTTTTCCATGAAAATAAGCATTCATCACATATAATTGTTTGTGAGGCCAGGCAAGTGTGGTCGCCAATACAATAACCAAGCGTAGTGTGGTTGATTTGAGAATAAGACTGAAAGTCTCATCAAAGCCCTACAAGATTCACATTTTCTGCATAAAGTGTGAATTAAAAAGTTTAGCACTTTTTTCATGAAATGTTACAAAATATCTCCCTACTGCCATGAAATGATGCAACAATGAAGAACTCCTAAACATGTTCTTGTTATTTCAAAATTGTTCTCTTCACTTTACAGGACTAGATAGAACCAAGAAAATTTGACTTGGGTAAGGTTAAGGTGTTGTACTCGTCTTTCATTTTTTAGGATGCTATGTTTTGCACCTTCAATTGAAAGAGCTAAGGAACAAGATCAATTTATATTTTTCCAGAAATTATGCTCCAAGTTGCCATACCTAGTCAAAAAGTTTGGATGTATACTCTTGTCACCTCTGCTTTTGTACTTGAATAGTTGAACTGCCTTTGGCTTGAATCAGATAAACAAAGAACAGGAATGAATAAAACAAAAGAATTCAGTCAGATGTAGTTAAGATACGAGACAGCAGATGCTAAATTTAAACATTGCAATAATGCAATGAAGCATACATTAAAATTATGGAACAATGCCAAACATTCTTTCCTAACAAGCCAAACAACCAGCGAAGGAATAAATTATTAAAAAAATAAAGTAATTTTTGGTGTAATTGACTTCACATTTTAGTGGAAGAATAATTTTAAATTGTAGATATATGATGGTAATTTGATGACAATAAAGACATTATAGGGGAAACCAAATCCCATAATTAAATTCAATAAGAAAGGCACTGCCTTGATCAAGCCATTAAGATACAAATTGCATATTTTTGGAAATTATGACTGCGGAGATGTTACCATTATATATCAAAGATTGCTTAGAGTTGCTAATGTGATGGTTGTATGTCTGCATCTGGAAATATAAGGAAGTAGCAGATTTCTATAAATTTTAAAATACTAGACAAATAATAATAATAATAATAATAATAATAATAATAATGACGGGAGGAATATCTGCAGGGAGTGCAGCGGAAGAGAAGTAAGCAGTCAGGACTTCAGAGTAATGACATCCACTGAATCACATATTTGGAGAATTCTTGAAGTTACAAGGCAAGCCTCTGATAAAGGATTCCAAGAGAATAGAGTTTTAATTTTTCTTTTTAACTTGAAACTGAAGAGATGCATGGCAGCATTAGAGAAACAGGCAGAGGTGCATGGCAACTGTGGTCTTTGAACCTGATGTCCTTCCCAAATGCTCACAGATAAAAATCTCCAGCAGACATAAGTTTCTCAAGATCCACATTGGGTTTTACTCCAAAGTCCATTTAGCATGTAAACAACACCCTCAGTGGCAACATTTCCTGATAAAACTCAGGATTAAATGGATAACCTCCAAGACCTGAAACCTATGAGTCCACAGTGTTGATCCCCTCATCTGTAAAAACATGGAAAGCACTTTTACTTGTAATGCATACTTGAACTAATGGTAGTAGCCAAAAAGACATGCATCTGACAATCATCTCCTAAAGAAAATGAACATGGTGAGAAGCAATTATAAGAGATTAAAAATGAGAAAGAATGCATACTTGGAGAAATGCTAAAATATTTGAAAGGGCTTGCCCATAAGTGTCATGGAAATGGACAGCAAGCTTATCAATTGGAACACCATAAAGAATAGCTTCAAACAGTTGAATGACAGTTCCTTCAAAATAGCACAAGAGAAGAATATCAAATCTAAGTTAACCCCAAAATTAAAAATAATAAATTCGAGATTATGACACATTTGAAACCAATATAATTAGTTAGCCTATATAAGATAATGGATTTTGAAGAAGCTTCATGTTATTTGTGTGCATGAAAATCACTATCACGTTTCAAAATAAACCAACAGAATCCCCACTGCCACACCCCCACCCCAAGATAAGATACAAACAAATAATGTGGGATTCCAAACAGAAAATAGTTTTAAGCATTACCAGATGTGACAACACCAATTGTATCACCAAGAGAAATTTCATAGCAACCCATATCACAGAGTTGTTTGGCCACATACGCAAATTTTGATGGAGGCACCATTACTTCTACAGGGCAACCCATAACACATGATATGTATCTACAAAGTTGAAGACTAAACTAATTGAGAATTCAATAGGAAGAAATAAGACTAACTTTTCTACCCTCTTTTCCTTCTCTTTCCTCCTAAGGAATATAGAACAATTTCAACGGTAGTTAGTAACCTACCAACCAACATGAATTGAAAGCTCTCTTGCAGTAGAGATAACATCATAGCAATAAGTAAGACTATCTTCAATACTTGACTTAGTTTTTGACTTCAAAAAAGACTCTAAGGCGAAGGCAGCTGTGGTTACATCCTTGGCTCCTGCTGCAATAGAAGCTCCAAAACCTTGAAATAAAGCATTAAAGAACATCAACAATTCGTCAATCATGTGATAGGTGCATGTTTTCTGTAGGACAAACATCTTAAAATCAATAAGAAGTCATGACTGCAAAGATTTTACTAGTCTATATCAAAGGGGATGAACACCAGACCATCCACATTCACATCCTTAAATTGTCTTCAATAAGTTAAGGGAAGTTGATGAAGAAAACCCAATAAGATCCCTTTCCTGCAAAAAATAAGGCAAACATTTAAAGTTAGAGACTTTTAGAAAGTGATATAGAATATGTCTTCTGATTAGGGGTAGCATCTAAGTATTTCAACAGTGCTGTTGCACTTACATGGGTTTGGGATGACTTAAGAAAACAATGAGACCAAAAAAAAAAAAAGAAAGTGCAAGATAGAACTCGAAGATACTTTAATAGTACTCAGAAGTAAAATGTTGTTTTTGAAGAGTTGCACGTACCAGTAGTGTTTGAGATAACTAAAGAATAAAATTAAACATTGCCAAAGAACAACAGTTTTCAAGCTAATTTTCTCACCATTGCTATTGTGGCTTCATCAACATATTTGGAAATTCCCAACAAAACCATCCTTAATGCCAAGTGCCAACCACTCAAATTCCCTTTCCAACAATCTGAAAAAACTAAATGAGAGTATAAACCATTTTAGAACCATATATAATTCAAAAGAAAATAATTTTAAGATGGAAATATGTGAAGCTGAAGAGTTAGGAAGGGAATCAAGCTCTCCAAATTTATCAATAAACAGATAAGTAGTGCAACTATATGCAGATAAATTATAATTTAAGCTATTAAAAAGAAAAGAAATTTCCTTAATACCAAGTGCCAACCACTTACATTCCCTTTTCCAACAATCTGAAATAACTAAATGACAAGTGGGGAAGGAAACCAATCTCTACAAATTAAAATTTTTTATCAATAAATAGAGTAGAGCAACAATATGAAGATATAATTTAAGGTAGTTTAAAGGAAAGAATGTACCTCCAATAAGTCTATAGCTTCATTCCAGATTTCACTCAGATAACAAGTGGCTTTGCTGGTTATACCTGATGGATATGTGTTAAAAAAGTTAGCTTCCAACAATTAGAAGAAGAAGAAGAAGAAGAGGCTATCCTTGTTTGCATCTACATCAGAGTGTGAGTTTTGAGTGTAGGTTTTACCGTCTCACGATCTATTACGACCCGAGAGATGGTACGGGTGAGAGACCAATATTCTCCTTTCTCCTCAAAGCGTTGTCGTTTTAGAAGCGGACACTGAAAAATGACAAGACCTCCAAGCGATGGAGGCAGGCCTTTCCTCGGCAATGACCGTAGCTTTGGACAGCATAAAATCACCAATTGCTGAAGAGAGTTGAGGTTTTGAAGGAGCCCTCTAGGTATGGATTTCAGATTCTTTGCATTTTGTATCTCTAGAGATGTTAAAGAAGGAGGAAGCACAATATCCAGAGGACATGTGTGACAAATGCTAAACCATTGAAGAGAGGTAAGATTGCAGAGACCCCATTCCACTGCTGGCTGCTTCAGATGCTCACCGTCTAATTTAAGATTTGTTAGGTTTGGGGGAAAACCTCCATCTGGAATGGATTTGATGCCTGGACAATCTGTTATCGTTAGATTCTTAATCAATGTAAGCTCATTCATTGTATTTGGTAGGGAGTTGAGATTCTGACAATTTTCTAATTCAAGATCTGTTAATTTTAGGGGCAAACCCCCATCTGGAATGCACTCCAACCCTGGACAATCTGCAATTGTCAAAGACCTAAGATTGGGCAAGGAGAGGCCCATTTTTGGGAAGAATTCTAAAACTGCACACCTGCCAATATCCATATCACGAAGATTGCTGAGGCCATCAAGTGATAAGCTTCTCAATACTTCACAATTCCGAATTCGAAGGGATTTAAGTCCCAGACAATGTTGCAACATCCTCCCTGGAAATGATTCCAACCTCTTGCAATCTTCAACAATAAATTCCTTGAGAGAAGCTGGCAGATGACCACTCCCAACAGAATTTAGAGATGGAAGTCCCTCTATTCTCAAAGATTCAAGATTGCTATTGTTGTCACCATCATCTTGCAATAATAATCCATCTGGTAAAGACTCTAAATTTACACATCCATTAATTGTCAAGTGTTTAACCGTGGTGTTGGGTAAAGACTTGAGGGAATCACAATTATAGATGCTTAATGATTCAAGTCTCAACATGTTGTTGCTGCTACTGCTTCCATCTACCTTCATCGTCATCGCATCAGTTAATGACTCTAGAGCTGCACAGTTTGAGAGGGTGAGACATTTAAGGTTGAAAGGAAGAAGGCCCTGTTCTTTCCTTGTCAATGAAACAAGCAAAGGACAGCTCTCAATGCTCATTATCTCAAGACGAGCAAGGTTTTCTACCTCAGCACCTTCCTCCCATAAACAAGTAAGCTCGAGGCATTCCTTAATCTCCACCTTCTCAACGGCTATCAAGGACTCAATAAAACCCTTAGGCAAGAAAACAAGTCCTGAAATGCTCTTAATTTCCAAGCTAGCAAGAGAGGTGAGATCAGCCATGCTATTCAAAAAGGCCACATTACAGTCTTCAATATTCAGCTTTTGTAGTGATTGAAGACTCATAGATGATGGGCATCTTAACTCTGGGCATCTTTTTATCACAAGATTTGTAAGACAAGACAAGTGGCTTGGTACTTCTCCCATCAATGCAGGACAATTTTCAATCACAAGCTCACAAAGACATGGGAATCCCACTCCACCTTCTGTTGTTGAAGTCCATTCCTGCCAAGCTAACATGTCACGAAACTCCAACTTCTCAAGAGATTGAAAAGTGCCATGACCATGAAACTTAGAATCCACCGTTTCTATTGCATCCATGCCCTCCACAATCAATGCTTTGAGTGTTGGCAATTGCCCAAGTGATGGCAATGAAGTGCTTCTTCTACACTGGCACAGCTTCAAGTAGGATAAATTAGAAAATGATGGAAAACTAATCCAGGATGGGAATCCCATGCCACCATAGCAAATAATTGTGAGAGTTTTTAATTTTTGATGAGGTTTTAACCAGCTAAGGACTTGCATTTCTTTGTCTTCATTCCTAGAATTGTCAAAATCAAAAGTCCATTGCAAGAGCAACCAATCAAGACCATCAATCTTGTCCAGCCTGGCCTTCTTAGCATCATGAACATTCGAAACATTATGCAAATCTAGAATAGATAGTTTCCCTTTGAGTTGTGAAAGGTTCTCCAAATCAGATAGTTTAACTAATCCATTTCCCTTCCCCACAATAAATTTGTCCAGTGTCAAAAGTTGTTTGAGATTAGCTAATCCAGATGGCATCTCTTTTAAGGAATCAGTTCCCCTAATGTCCAGCTGATGGAGGTTAATTAAGTTCCCAATTGTCACAGGAAACTTTGAAAAGCTGTTGCAGTTGAATAACAACAATGTCTGTAAATGGAGGAGGAAAACTATTGATTCAGG